TAAGGGCCCTATCTCTTTGGGAGATGGACCATTGAGCCACACCCTGGTGCATCTGAAAAAGATAGATGCAGTTTGTAATGGATCCACCCACTCTCATGACATGAATAGTTTTGGGATATGTAATAGAATAACGCATGTGAATACCTTCTGTTCTCACTCATTGATTTGATTGAAGAACTTTTCAATTCTCTTAGTTCCTTCTCACCATAACCTGTATGGTTGTACTGTCTCACTTTAGAGAAATGTACTCTCACTTCCTGTTGTGTCCCCAGAACAGGAAGTGAAGGTTCATCTTCCCAATGAGACAAAAATATAAATGTCAAGGGGTTTTAACCATTCTCCGTTCCATCCAAGACAATAAAATGAACTTTTGGCTTTGCTACACTTTATTCTATGCCCGGGTCTTGGCGTAGGAGCTCAGCTGAGATGTCTACGGAGGAGGTTTTTCCTCCAGAGGTTCACACCTGAAGGTGGACATTTTTCCCCTCGTGGTGTTTTCCAGATGTTTAACAGAAAATCCGCAGTCTACGCAGGCTCGGGGGGCGACAACTTCTTTTTAACTGCTGCTCCGGAACACACTGTTTTGATTACAAAGTGGGCGTTGAGGGTAACTGACAATAAAATAAATGGGAGTTTATCAGAAGTATCACTTAGAACCACTTCGAAACTACGCCCCAAAGATTCCGGTGAGTTCTCCGTGTTCAGCAGTGAGAGGGCTGGCAGGGACCTGAGCCAGAAGACGGATTAAAATAGATCCAAATTTTGACTTATTTTGCCTTACAAGAGCACATCATTGTGTGTCAGCAATACAACGTCTCCATGTATATTGGAGATGAATTGGCGTTACTGACAAACCGAAATGTACAGAACAATGACAGTCCCGGTCCTTCTCCATACAATCATGGAGGAAGCAAAGTGCAGCAACCAGATCAATCAAATCAATCCAACGTATACTCAGATGTTTTATATATTACTAACCTGTGTTGTTTCTTAATGTGGGGACCCATAACAATGACACTCAGACATATGGGGGTTCCACAACAATGACACATTGACACTTAGGGATCTCAAACAATGACAAACTGACACTTGATACCCCAGAACACTGACGCGTGGGGGTCCCAGGAACAATGACACACTGACTCCTGGGAACCCAAAAAGAATGACACACTGACACTTGGGGGGCCCCAGAACAATGACACACTTACACTTTGTACCCTAGGACATAGAATACACTGACACTTAGTACCCCAAAACAATTACACTTGGTACCCTAGGACATAGGTTACACAGACAGTTGGGGGTCCTATAGCAATAACATACTGACACTTGGGGGTCCAAGAACAATGACACACAGACACATGGCACCCCAAAACAATAACACACTGACACTTGGAGTGCCAGAACAACGATGCACTGACACTTGGTACCCCAAAACAATGACACACAGACACTTGGGGGTCCTATATCAATAACATGCTGACACTTGGGGACCCCAGGACAATGACACACTGACACTTGGGGACCCCAGGACAATGACACACTTTGTCCTCTTATATAGGGTGGTGAGTTCAGTACAGCTGAAGGTGCAATCACCGTACACCGCTCTTCTACCCTGTTTCCCCGAAAATAAGACCTAGTACTATTTTTGGGAATTGCTAAAATATAAGACCTACCCCGAAAATAAGACCTAGTTGTGACCATTCCCAGGGCCGGTGGTGGCATAAGGGGGAATTTGAAGAGCCGCAGGAGAGAATCAGCAGTGCCAACGAAGCCAGCGCTAGAGGAAGCGAGGCGGCAGCAGAGGGAGCAGAGCCGCATAAGCCGATGCCTCCTCTATAGCGCCG